GTTGCCATATTTGTTAAAGCCTGCTTTTCTGAAGTAGTGCCTGTATTTCTGCTGTTGTCCTTCCTTCCTTTCACTAGGATCTTGAACTCTTATTGTTACATGATCACTCTTATCCAGGTTACCTTTCACCTTTACATTTTTGACCAACTCTTCCCTATTCATGAACACTAACAGCAAATCAAAAAGCATTTCCCCTCAGTTGGTTTCTCCACCATTTATACCAAACAGCTGTTCCTCACACATTCAAAAAACTTGCTGGATTGCCTGCATATTGGTGTGTTATCCTCCCAATGTCACGTTTAACTAATAAGCACCAGGTCCTGGTGATCTGGAGACTTCTGTTATTTGGTTGAAGAAAGCCTCATCCACTTTCCCCTCCTTGTTTGGTGCCCTACATCAGACATCATCTCTCCTGTTCTTCCCTTTTATCCTGACACAGAGACTTACCTCCTACTTGTATAAGACCCTCTTCAAAGCCCCACTTAGTATTTCCTCCCAGTTTGTCTTTGAGACATTGATGACCGTCTTCGAGCACAATAAAACATTTATGCACCCACCCAATAGAAGTTTCATGTAGATCATATTTCTGTATTCCACATGAAAATGTCATGGGAGATGGTGTCAAAAGCCTTTCCAAAGTCAAAGTATATTGCATCAACTGTGCTCACCAATCCATGAAGTCCATCATCTTGTCATAGAGGGTAATCAGGTTGGTTAGACATGACTTGCTCTCTTGAGAATCCTATGTTGGCTTTTAATTATTTTTTCTTATGTGTATATTGATGCTTTCTTCAAATATGCTCCAGTATCTTTCAGATATCAAAGTTAGACTGACCTGGTCTGTAATTACTTGGGTCCTCCTTTCTATTTATTTTAAAGAGGGGTGCAGTAATTGCCATTTTTCCTTCTTTCTGGGAGCTTACCAGTTCCAATTCTGCATGAGTTCTTAAAGATAATAGCCAATAGCTCTGAAATTACTTCAGCAAATTACTTGAGGACATTAGGATAAATTTGAAAATAGCTAGTTTATCTAAGTAATATCCAACCTGTTCTTTTTCTACTGTGGCCTAGGTATTTACCCTGTTGCCCCCCCCCCCCATGTCCTTGCTTCTAACTGTGCTCCTAAATCTGATATGTAACCTTTTTAATCACATTTAAATATGCTAAGAAGCCAGAGGTCAAACACAGACTTTTCCTTGGAAACTGCATCAAAGTTGCCATTGTCTGTAAAACTTCTTGTTCAACCTTCAGTCATTTTTAGAGTACTTGATTTAGTATTACAATTCGAGGTTATTTTCTTCAGAAGTATAATATATGGTGGATGAGTTCACAGAACTTGCAGCTAGAAATTTTTTTTTACTGGTAAACTGAGCAAATTAGTTTTGAAAGATAAACTTAAAACAGCTTATGTAATTCTTAAAGTCACTTTCAGTGTAGAGCCTAATTTTAAAGGGGATCCTTAAAATGTTGGTTAGGGGAATTAATTGAATTAATTGAAAAAGTGGGTTTTGGTTTCATTTTGTTTATAGTGTAGGAAAAATAGTGTAGGAAAACCCTAAGATTTAAACTCTTTGAATTTTGCACAAGTTATTAGCTTGCAAAGGGGAAAACTTTGCAAACATAAAGACATATCATTTTAATTTCTGTGGTTGTTGCATACATATCTCTGACTCTAAGGCTTCTCTTTATTACTATTCTGTAGAATTTCTACGATTCTTTTCCTTCCATAGGAGGAGAGGTAGGAAGGGTCAGAAAAATGCAATTCACCACTTAATTGAGAAAAAGATTTAAACATTTAAATCAAAAGGAGTGAGACCTAGTACTAGTAGAAATTTTTGGGGCTTAGTAGTTACTTACCCAGAAGTGTGATTTTTGGGTTGACTGGAGTGATTTACAAATTTGTGCCATATCTAATAGATAGTTTTATTTCCCCCCCCGCAAAAAAAAATCAATTTAAAATGTTTTGCTTCTACGTTTTCAAAATTAAAAGTACTAAAACATTTTGAGATCAAACTTATCTAACTTTATTTTTTTAAATAAGACCCAAACATTATATATCATTTAAACCAACCAAATCATACTGAGTTTTTCATTTTACCCAGAAACTCGGAAAAGTAATTTCAGATTGATCCAAAATTAAATTCTCACACTTACTTTTGGTTGGGCCAGTAAACTGAGAAATCCTTTATTTACACAGAGCTATCCATATCCTCCGTTCATTCACTTCAATGGGAATTTTGACCAGGCAGATAATACAGTCAGGTACAGGCTTTACTTTTTTTTAAATAGAAGAATGATAGATCTTACTAATTATGATAGTTGTTTGGCAACATGATTATTTGTTTAAGATTTACATATAAACATCTATGATACTTTACAAACTAAAAATACATAATTTTAATTGTTTGATATTTAATAAATATTGCAGGATATTTATTTTCTCAGAAATAATTCATAGTTGATCTCTTGTATGTTGTCACATATTTTGAAAACTTCCTGCAACTGGTTGCATAAAATATATTCCTGGATATTTAAAAACACTAGAACAAATTATAGTTGAAAAGTGTTATCTGTTCATCTTGTGTCCAAGATAAGTGTAATTGTTGAGAAATGATAATGACTTTACAGTATGTCTCTAAGCCATTTGATTAAACCCAAGTTACTTCATTTTACTTCTGATTATTGTAATAAGCATTTACATCATGTTTCAACCTGTTTACACCTTAGAGCTATTATGTGACCTTTTTCAAACCCCGGACTAATTCCACATGGCCAAAAAAGTCTACACGCATTACTAAAAGACAATAATATATATTTTCCATAGTTTTTAGGCCAAATTTAAGGATTTTATCCTGCAAATACTTGAGTATGGTAAGAAATTTTATGCATGCGAATAATTAAGTTCTATTATAACAAATACATTACAAGAATATTTTTAAGGTAGGAAATTCCAACCCTCCAAAGTTAGGAGATGCCAGGATTCAGGTTGCCTATGTAAATCTAACACAACCCATTTGTGCATGTATATCATGATGCAATTAACTGCATGATCACGTTAGGTATTTTGTCATATACCATGCACACCTTTTTAAAAAATCTTGCTGGAAATTGGGGTGTGCAGTATAAGAGAGGAAATGCAGTAATGGCAGTTTCTGCCACTTAAGCTTCTGCCAGGAGAAAATGGAAGTAAGCACAGGATCTATAGGGAGCAGAAGAATGAGCAGACTTGGCTCCCCAGCTGCTGCTGCTTGGTTACTTACTACAAGGAAAGATTTTTTTTTTCCCTCTTCATTTTGCCTTTCAAAAACAAGGTGTGTATCTTATTCCAGGATGTTATATACAAGAAAATACAGTATTTTTTCTCCACAGAACCTCTGTTCTTGCCCAGGGAGCACAGGCTCACTTAATGGACAGCTGTTGAGTATTTGGTTTCCTTTTTTTTTGTTCACTGTGTAGTACTAGAGTATATCCACACACTAGGAGCTTATCTGTATGCTAGAATTAATTTCCCCATATGTGTTTTTATAGTGCCTATCTCTATAGTATCTGAAGGCTTCATGGTTATTAGTTTATTTTTCTCTCCTTGTGAGAGGAGGAGGCAGTATTGTCCCTGTTTTACAGATGGGAATCTTAGGCACAGAGAGTTCCGCAGTCTAGACCCACTCAGCTATTTCAAAGAAAATGTCTTAAGAATTTTTAGCACGGGCAGAGAAATGCATTTATCCATAGCCTTAGTCTTGTACATGCCTAGGCCATTTTTGGCTGAATTTTTCCAGAAGAATTCAAACTCAGATAACCACATTGCATGGAAAATTAAAGTCCAGACACTTAAAATTTAGCAAATTTACAAGCAAGTAAAAAAAACCATGATCATACAATGGGAAGGGCCAGGCACGCTTAATAATACCACCCCTGTCTATAATTAAATTAGCATGTGGCATCTTTCATACATAAAGGCTTTCAAAGCATTTTACAGTCACCCTGACCTCTATACCTGGAAAGATCATGGAGCAGATCTGGAAAGAATCCATTGTGAAGCACCTAGAGGAGAAAAAGGTGGTCGGGAATAGCCAGCATAGATTCACCAACAGCGAGCCATGCTTAACCAGCCTGATTTCCTTTGGTGGACAGGGAAGAGCAGTGGCTGTGATATGTCTTGACTTTAGCAAGGCCTTTGACACTGTCTGTCATGACATTCTCATTAACAAGCTAAAGAAATGCAGACTAGATAAAAGTACGGTTAAGCATGGGAAATTAAAAAGCATACAGTTGTCAACAGAGAAAAAATTTAAACAGCATGTAGGTTTGTGGAAAATGCTTTAGTATCTTTGATAGACGGAACCTTTGATTTCAGTAAGGAAAAGAGAAATATGGATTTCGTAAAAACTTGCTTTGAGATTTCACAGGGCACTTAAAGGAAAAATTATGGATTTCTTGTTGAAATGGAAATCTGTATTATATAAGCAAGTGGTTCTTGTTTGAAAGAAATGTATGGTGTTTTTCAATTACTTCTCAGGGAATGTATTAAAAAAAATAAACAGACAGTATTCCCAAACTTGTCATTTGGTTGGAGCCAGATGGCACTCAGACTTCAGAAAATTTAAGTTTTATTCTAAATCTATAACCTATGAATTTTGGCAGGTTATCAGTCTGGCAAAAAAGAAGTTCTGCCAGCCCTTCTAAGTCATATCCAAAGTATATATAATCTATTTTGACATTTTTAAACTATAGACTTTGTATAGAAGTGTTGAGAACCAAGTAGCTTATAATAAAAGATATTCTTGTCACCCAGTCATAACTCCGTTTATCATTGCTGGGACTTGCATATTGGTGCTGATGGTTGGCAATAATTGTTTTTCTGGACAGGGAAATGCAAGTTGAGAGAGAAGATTGTATTCAAAACTTCCTGAGTTTGAAACTATTATAATACATAAATGACATCTTTAAAAGGCTGCAAGAATGCTTACCTCTGTTTAATGTTTTATTTGTTTTACAAACAGGTTCACACAAAGTTCCACTGCAGGCAGGCACATGCTTCAGGCACTGAAACTTCATGCTTGACATTTTCCTATGATGGTATTGCCCTTGCCAGTCGAGGAGGTAAGTGTTTTGTTAAATGTAAGATAAACATAGGTTTTCACTGATTGTTAGCAGAAATGTAAATCTTAGACATTTAAAATCATATCCTTGCCTCCAGGTATTTTTTTGTAAAAGTGTAATAAGCCACTAAAATCACGTATTAGGTCTTCTCTAGATCTAGAGTCGCATCTTTCACCTTATGTGGATCATAGTGTGCAGTAAAATGCAACTAAAAAAAATTCAGCAGAAAACTTAAATTATTTTATATGCTTGTTACCATACAAACTCCAGTTTCTATTTTGAAAATTAACCATAATGGAAACTAAACTTTAATAAATGTAAAACTAAGCAAAAAAGTAAACGTGTTGTGACTAGTTCTGCGTGAAAAAGCTACATGGAAACATAGTACCTTTTTGTGGTGCTTTTTTTACTGCTTCCTTAGTTCACTTCCCTTATACTAGACGTGTCAAACTCCATGTGGGTCTCTGGGCTGAATCTGGACTTCAAGCAGCCTCCTGGGGTGGATCTGGACAGTTAACAGAGCCCTCGTTTACCCTCTTGCCACAAACATGCATGCCCATTGGGGCCCTGTCTCTGGGAATTTAGCAGCTGGCCCCAACCCTCCTTTGCTTTCTTCTTGAATTTCCAGCCCCTCTGGGAGCCCCGGGCCTGGGTGAAATGACTCCACAGGCTGGATGTGACCCTTGGGCCAAAAGTTTAGCACCTCTGCCCTACACCATGATTTTTCTGTCATTGATTATAAATTTTGACTTAATTCATATTGTAAGCAGCATGAAATAAGGACCTTCTTGGAATGATTGGCCAAGCTATATTTCAACTATGAGGACTGAAAAAAGAAAAGTTAGCTTAAAGTTTTCCCAGGAATAGGGAAAGGCATCACTCAAGGACAGTTGGTTTCATTCACATCAGCTGAGATTTTTTTTCCTAAAAATATTACCCACAAAACAAATCTTCTGAAGGCCAAAATCATAGTTTGGGATTTATTCATTAGTATTTTAGGAGAGTCATAACAGTTTGCTGGGTAAATGCTATAACTACACTTCCATTCCCAAGGAAGGCTTGCGTTTCTCTTAAATTCAGTCTACACCCTGTTTCTTGTATTTCTAGTTCCTGTTTTTGACTTTTAGTCTTGCTAGTAATGATATGGTCTCTCTCTTCACCTTAATCCAGGTTAACAAAGATTTTGTCTAAACACTTTTTTTTCCATAAAGAAAGAAATGACCTGTTCGTGTGGCTGCTTAATTCTACTGTGGTAGTGCTTCAGGTGCCGGTTTCTAGCCTGATGGGATTAGGCCTTCTTTAACACAAGTGAACACATGGTTTGTGCCCAAGAGAGTTTCTGGTTTAACGTGTTGAAGGAAAGTCTGTTTATGCCTAAAAATATTAGTTACCCACAATTGATATTAATACAAAGTGTGTTTAATAATGCTATCTTTAACAGAAAGCACTTGGATATTCTTGGTGCCATTGTCACATGCTTTGTATTAGGGTTGGCCTGGGAAATCAGAAGAAGCCAAATCTTTAACCAAAAGCTGAAATCAACTAACCTTCAGATGGTCCCAAGCTTTCAGCTACATTTTTCACTTACTTTTTGTTTTCACATGCCTCTGTACCCCTTCATTCTGACCACAACCAGTAGAGAAAGATGCGGTAATACTGAAGAGAGTCTATATACATTATAATTTAGCACACATTTGGAACTGTATTAACTGCTGACCATTGCATACCACCCTGGTTTACAGATTTGAGTTCTGGATATACGAAGTCCTGGACTCAAATCTTTTCCAGTTCATTTGAAGTCAAAGCCTTTGGTGACAGTTTAGATTTCCTTCGATCTACTTGAAACTTCTGCCTTGAGGATATTTTCTTAGGTTCAGGGTTTGTGAATATATAGAACTTGCTCTGTTGACCCTTGCCTATTTTTAGTGTTGTGTTGCACTTCCCTTCCTGCTCTTCCCACCCTTATCTATTCCTAGATTGTGTGCCCTGATGATCAGAGATTCAGGTGATTTGTCAGATGCTAATTTATGATCACTCTAAATTATATAAAAACTTGATTTATAGTATGCAGGATATAAGAATGTTCAGAAAATGGTCTCTCTCTGTTTTAAAATATTAATTCTATGCTCAGTGTTTTCCTGGTTAGTCTATTTTTTTTTAAATCTATATGTGTGCTGTGCAGAAGAATGAGGAAGATTCATATTTTCTTTCAACTTCTTTGTTTGCTTAATGCTCTAATAAGAGTATGGCTTTGGATCTGTACCAATAAAAGCAGATGTGGATCCAGCAGTCATAGATTAGCACACCTGCCAAATGCTGAGGATCAAAGGGAGGATCATTGTTTGGGGGAAAAGGGACTTTCATTGAAAGCCTGATTGCCTCCTGCATCTGATATAGATTCTGTGTCGGATATGAGAGAGATGAGGCAGGGCTCAGCTGCAGACACAAGGGAAAATGAAAAGCAGAGGAGTTGCTTATGAGAGTTCCCAGTTTTGTTCTTCTTGAGTATTAGCAAGTAACCTGACAGAAATTCAAGAAAGTGATATTTACACGTGCTTTTTGACAATGAAAATAATTTTTAAAAACCATGTTAGGTAATGTTTTCTTGACAAATAAAGAGTCATTGAATATTATAGCCTAGTAATCAATCATTAAAGTTAGTTATTGTCTCTTGGTATATACATGGAATTTACAATGTAAGTCTGTAATTATTAGTAGGCAGAAATCCTGACTCTCAAGTCTGTAAAAGTTGTGTGATTGCTGAATAAATGTGTTTTTTCTATTTCTTCAAATCTGAAAAATAATCAGGTCTGCAGTCTTAATTAGTCTTCTGTATGAAAACCAGAGCACGGGGGTTAATTGTAATTCAATGAAAACTATTAAGCTCAGATAGTATCTACATGTATGTGCTTATTGTATAGGTCAGAGATTAATAGGGCTTTTCCCCTCTAAATTTCTAACATAATCTTCCATTTAAAGTGTTTAAAAGGAAAAGCCATTTGAGTTAGAAGCTTCAGATTCTATGTGGAGAGAAAACAATACAGTATTTCTGATTAATACATTCAGGGAGTTTTTAATTATGCATTAATGCTCTCCCCAAGACAAAACGTAAGGTGTTTGTTGTGGGAGACTCCCTCCTGAGGGGGACTGAGGGGCCAATCTGCCACCCCGACCCCTTAGCCTGGTAAGTCTGCTGCTTCCCAGGGTCCCACATCTGGGACATTACGGAGAGGATCCCAAAGCTCCTTAAACCCACAGACCACTATCCCATGCTCCTTATTCATGTGGGCACCAATGACACTGCTTGGAGCACTCCCAGCCAGGTCATGAGGCGCTACAGGGATTTGGGAGCGGGGCTAAAGGGTCTGGGGGCACAGGTGGTGTTCTCGTCGATCCTCCCAGTCTCAGGCTATGGGCTGAGAAGGGATAGGAGGATCTATGTGCTCAACCAAAGACTGCAGCGCTGGTGTCGTCAGGAAGGCTTTGGCTTTCATGACCACAGCCTGCTCTTTGGCGAGAGAGGCAGCGAGCTGCTGGGAAGAGATGGCCTCCACCTCTCTCCCCTGGGGAGGAGGCTCTTCTCAGCCAGACTGGC